ATTTTTTGTTCGTTGCACTGGTCGGCCTTTGCTGTTGATTTTGGGATTTGCGGTCTCATTTTTGGTACCGCCAGAGAGTCCAAAAAATGAGACCGTGAAAGTGCTTTTCTTTTTTTGTTAAGAGGTGTATGTGGTCCCAAAAATGGGACCGCCAGGCGGTTCCAGCTTTGTGGCTTATGGCGGCCAGAAGGGCAACTGGAGAGGCCCTTTTGAACGAAGCTGGTTTTGAGAAGGTTTTCCGGAGCCAGAATTGGGTCTGTCGGAGGAAGCTCTTTTGTAGATGATTTGGTTTCTTGTTGGGGCAAGCGGGGTGCATATCGGTTGCTGCTTGAACCCATTTGAAGGTAACTTTTTATTATTTCATTTCGTCTGGTGGCTTGATTGTTTGCTGCTAAAAGAAGGCGCATCCTTTTGCAGCCTTAGGTGATTGCTTGAAGTGTTTCTTGCTGTTGCGGAGTTTGTGGGTTTTCGCGAAGGTGGCCGGCTTCCATTTGAATGATTGTATTGAATACTTTACTGCCCCCTTGTTGGCCCCCCTTCCCCCTCTAGACTCCTACCGAAGTTTGCAGCCCAGAAAGAACATGAATTATGATCTTTTCAGTCAATCCCGTTATTAATTAATAGTATTAATTTTAAACGGGATGGAGTAAGAATTTGCTTAGGGAAAGATGTGGGAAGGTGAAGTATTGAAGGCTCTCTTACTCCGGCATCGTTTCGATATCGTGTCAATTACATTGGGTAATCGAATTAAAACATACCACGGAGTAGCGGAGTAGCGCGGAGTAGCGACGGATTGGTGAATGTTGCCTGGGTGGTGCTGCAGTGCAATCGCCGCATTGGAGCTAGGGAACAGAGACAGCTAATACCACATGTGCGCTTTCAGGTTCCATTTCTGGGGCTCTGGGGCAATTGAAACCAGGCTTCGCATGTGCGGGCCTCCTCTGTATTCGGGGCTGAAGACCTTTTTACTGGATTTAAATTTGTTTTCGTTCTCTACTTGCAATCGGACTTTGTTTGCTATACTGAGTGGTGGCGGTCATGATATGACGCGGAGACAGCAATGACCTAGTCACTGCATAAGCTCATTGTCAATGCTATCCGTGTGATACGCCTCTTTTCTGTGTTTCTGTGTCGCCAGACTAAGCTGCAGGGTATGCTGCTTACATCCACACTGTGTCTTGGTGCGCCTGAAGGTCCCTGGTGGGGTAGGTGTAGAATTTGCACCATGAATCCCCCCGACGCGGCACACAATCCTCTTTTGCTTGCCCTGTGAGCCCATGGCCACAGCTGTGACCGCTGCCGAAACCTGCCTCGGCATTCTGTACCCCGTGATGGGTTTGTCTCCCCCCCCTTCTGGGCGGCTGCTAGATTTGATCTTGCAATCTGACTGCGTGGTGTGACGCCAGCTGTTGGTTACTTGGATCCTTTCTTGCTGTGATGATGGCTATGATGATGTACTGCGACGACGTGGACAAGTACTATTGAGGGGACTCTGAGAGAATTGCATTTAGGCGTGTAGAGCTGACTTCTTTGCTGTCTTTTTTTGGATCTGCCCTGTTGTATAGTGTGAGGGCTTAGAATTCGTTTGATTGCTTTGATTTTGTGCAGGCATCAAGGGTTCTTCTCTTAATGCCTGGGTGGCTGTTTTGTGGTTGTTTGTGTTGGGCTCTGGCCCCTTTCCTTTGGTTTTTGTTTCCTGTTGTGTTTTTTGGATTGCGTGGGAAGATGCTTCTTGTTGGCTTGCCAATAGAGTTTTATGGCTAAGACGTAAAGGGTTAAACATAAACCCGGCGCAAAATGAAACCAGGGAGATGAATTCCCTGACAGAGGTGAAACGAGGTTGAAGGTGGTGAATACCTTCTGAAAACGCAAGGTGGTGAATACCAGTGTGGCCATGCAACAAGAAGCTCAATTGCGATGAAACCAGATGAAACAACCTTTAGGTGATATGTTTGGATACATGGTGGAACCCTGCAGGTTACAACGTTGGACTATGTGATTATGGAACTAGTGATCTTGCTGTTATTTCCCGACGTGAACCTCTGGAACTGGAATCCTTATTTGAAGTTTTATGTTGTTTGTGTTAGGGTTGATGCTTGCTTGAGATGATCGATGTTCTGGTGGAATGAGATGTCAGTCTGTGCATTTGGTCGAAGTGATCACTTGGTGGCGCTGAGGATCTATTTCATTCTGTCCATTTTGGATCAAGTTGAAACAGTGTGGTTCGATAGAGTTGGATTTTTTTGTAGGTGCACAGGCTCTGGCCTGCTGCATGGATAGGGTGCCCGGGGCGCGCGCGCGCGGGGTCGTGCTGCCATATTTTCTGGGTCTTCCACTGCAGCAGCTGTTCGGACCACTGGTTTTTCTGCCGTATTGCATTTCCCTGCCATTGCGGTGAGCTTTGGATTATTTATTGGTGGTGTTTGCACTGGGATTTGCATTGTATTGGTCTGGATTTTTGCTAGAGTCTAGCACCTGCACTGTCACTGGATTGATTTGCCATTCTATTTTGAGCCTGACTTTTCTTTGCATTTGAGTGGATTTGATTGCAGAGTGTTCTGGCTTGGGCTACATTCCAGTGGCAAGCTTGGACTTCTATGGCGTCGTGTTCATCAGGTTGGAAGCTAGGTGGGGATGCTACGTCAGGAGATGCTGACAGTCCAAAGAATGTTGCAAGTGAATTTGATGAAAATGTTTACCTTGATTTTGTGAGAAATGCCAAACGTTGTTTAACTACCCCTGCAAAGAAGATGCCCTGGGAAATTAGGTTGGAACCCCCGAAAGTTTCCATGAATTGCCAAAGCCTGCAATTAATTTTGCGAAACAAGATTTTGAGAGTTGGAGATCTATGGGCCAACCAGAGCTTGAGAAGCCAACAGAGGGGGAGCCGACACACTTCCCTATGCCAAAGATGGCGAAGAGAGCTCCGAAGATTTCCTGGGAAGCGAGGTTAACAGCACAGAGAGTGGCCAGTATTGCGAAGTGGAAGACCATTGTCGGTGTCTCCATGAAATCCTTTCAGATTGATATTCAACTGGCGAATGAACCACAGACAGATTTGGGCGATGTATTGGATGATGTTTTGGCCGCAAAGGCCACCTCGACCATGCATGCGAGAGCGGACGCCTTGATCAGGTATATATCATGGGCTAAGACGAATGGGCATATTCCGATTCCTTTTTCAGAAACTGTGGTATATGCGTTTGTGAATGATGTCGGATCCAGATCAGCCCCCACATTTCCGAGGAGTTTTTGCTGTGCTTTAGCCTTTAACCTTTGTGGGTCATGTAGTGGGATGCCCGTAGGATGCGTCGACTGACGCGTCATGCTGCGAGGGCGTCTGCAGTTTGCTGCCGGAAACATCTTTGGACGAATCGCAAAGAGCGCTTTGTCAGTGGTGACCATGCATGCTTATGGTGGCAACTCCCCAAAGTTGGATGAGAAAGCAGTTATGGCAATGGCCTTGCGTCTGCATCTCAAAGCTTCTTGAGTTCAGCAGACCACGTGAGCTGCGTCCCACTTCAAACAATGTGTGGTTCCTCCAGACTGACGCTTCGTATGAACCGTCCTCGGACGGCATCTTCTCAGGCATTGGTGCAGTGCTTTTTGACCCGACAGGTAGACCCACACAGTTTTTCTCTAAGCAGTTGACTTGTGACCTGTTACAGTCATTGAACCCTTCTCAGAAGAAGACAGCCATCTTCGCGTGTGAGTTCTGGGCGCTCTTCTGTGCCTTTCATGTTTGGGGTGACGCAATCTCAAACGCTTTGGTGATATACACTGACAACAATGCTGTCAGGGATGCGCTTATCACTGGGCATACAAACAATGTGCTTACGAAACGAATCTTAGTGGCTACGCTTGGTTTGGACTGTGAGAAGCAACTCACCCCGTGGTACGCCAGAGTACCCACAGATTCGAACATGGCCGACGGGCCGCCAAGGCTCAAAGTTGAACACCTCTTGTCGCTTGGTGCTTGTGAATGTGAGTTGGATGTTTCTAGTTGCTGGGATGCGGTGCTGACCTTGGCCGTCAAGTGTGGAGAAGAACAGGCCAGCATCAGCATCCCAGCTTAAAAAGGTGCGAATGCAAGTCTCTGATTGCCACTTCACATTCTTATGCAACTTGTCATCAGACATTGGTCTCCGCAGCCTGCAGTTCCAAAAGACAGAATCAAACGGTCATGGCATGATTGTGAATTATGACTTGAAGGAAGAAGCGGTTGCGCTTCAGCAGGCTGGCTCAACAGTGTCGCTTAGTTCATGTGGCATTCCATTTCTGTCATGTGATATTTACAATGCAAGCTTGTACATTGTGTTGAACAAGGTTTTCATTCAGAACATCTCTTTGTTTCTAGCGCTGCAAAGTTGCCCCTCCCTCAGCCACCCTGTTGGCACCATCAACATCCCAGCTTAAAAAGGTGCGAGTGCAAGTCTCTGATTGCCACTTCACATTCTTGTGCAACTTGTCATCAGACATTGGTCTCTGCAGCCTGCGGTTCCAAAAGCCATAAAAAAATTACACGATGCTACGTCACAATAATTTTTCTAGAGTTGATGCTACGTCATGGTAACTTCTGGCCCCTCCTGTGATGACTACATCAATACAGACAACATGCTATCATATCTCTATGCATGGCTGCGGCACCGAAGGTGCCAACAATCACTTCGGAAAGGTCCTGCTCACCTATGCCACAAATATGGCAAAAACAAGTTTGACCCGGCAGAAGGACATGAAAAAAATGTCCGAAGTGTTAGAAAAATTGTCAAAAACCACTTAATAAGCAAACCTTGCAAAGGCTTTGCATGTTCTTCTATCATCGATTTCAAATGAAGTCCTTCAAAACCATTTTTTGGAGATTCTCAAGAGCGCCATGCATCCGGAACATTCACAAACGTACGGCCCCGACGACTAGTATTCACCATCTATTCTTGAAACAAAAACATGTCATGAAAGGTTTGTAACCCCGCAGATTTCGTGTCTCAAACTCGGCTCCCACCATGACGTTCAATTGCGCAAATTGGTTTTGGAACATTGTGCCTTGGCCAGATGCCGACAGCGAACCCGAGCGTGCCAGCACCAACCAGCTTGAGGGCAAGGCCGCGCGGCCTTGAGTGGCTGGATATTTGGTTTTCAAAAATTCGCTGATGTCAGGATGTGGTTTTGGATCAAAATTCGATCACCACCTTGGTGTGTGAACCAAACATCTAACTTTGTAGAAAATGTTCATCATCCCTTCGTCAGATGGTTTAAAATGATCAACCCCGATTTCTTGAGATCGCGAACGACCAACCTATTTTGTGTTTCCAAAACAGCACCCAAATGATTTGACCTATTTGCCAGATGGGAAACTTATGCCAAAAAAATGCAAGTTGGTTTACAACCCCATTTGACATTATGTTTCTTTGTATATATATATAAATAAATGATACAAGCAAATGCACATACATTGCACCATCAATCCTAGTTGGTTTGATTATCCCCTTCCGACAGGTGATATGGTTGTTATTGTGTTTATTGCACCCGTGCCAGGCGCATCTCCAGCGAGCGTTGGAAAAAATTGAGAAGGAAACTCCACTGCGACCGACCAAATTTGGGTTTGTTAAAAAAAAAATGCGGCAAAATACAGAAAAACATAAATTTAATCATCATTCTACCTATTAAACTGACCTCTTGGGAGGATACCTTATTCTGAAAACACCAATTTTTGTCCTGGGTTTTCCCAGGGATGATTGAAATCCCTAGTGCCTTCCCATAGTAACCTTTTCATTTAACAAATGGGTCAAAAACTTCATGAATAGATCCAATAAATACCATTTCACCAGGATTATGGTTTAATTACGAAAAACCATTCAACCATGTGTGGTTGATATAGGAATTTTGAGACTGAAACGTGGTAAAAACAACCCAAACATTGACCTGACGTCTTTTTTTATATATAATTTGGATGCAAGACGTTTTTTTTGGTTTCTCAAGACACAGTCCTCAACTCTGCGCCTGGGTCAAAAACATGGTTAGTTTTCCCATATTGTGGGATAGTCATCAATCCATTCATAGGGATTGATATACCCATTGTAAGAATTTCCATTGTGGGATGGGTGACCATGACACATATGAGGCTACTCAGCCCTTCCAGGTGTTCTGAAATGGATTGCAATCTGTGCTGTTTGAGCAACTGACCGTATTACTGGATGTTGACCCAGAACAATGGATGGACATCAGTTGGCATCCATTCGTTCATAGGCATTAAAGTGACAAGGAGTCTTTGATTTTTTACTAAATATTTAATGTGACCAATTTGCTGGTTGCATCCCAATTTGTTGCCAGTGCAATCCCCTGTTTCTGTTGGTCAAGTCCCATTTGATTCAGTCCCATTTTTCTGGACAACTCCCAGAGGGTTGCGGTTTTGTCTGTTAGGTCAAAATATGGACACAAATTTTCCAGATGTCCATATTTTTCATGTTCTGTTTAGGACCCCCATGGCACCATGGACCCTAAAAAACATCCCTTGGCTTGGTTTCGAGGACTCCATGCGCTACAAACAATGGGCCGCCAAGCCTTGGCTTGGCAAAGATGGTGAGGTGGGAATGCTGGGAATGGTGGGACTGGTGGGAACCCAGGAAATTCTGGCCTCAAGCGGTAAGGTGATGGAATTGGGCAGTGTTTATTTCAACATTACTAAGAGGATCATTTGTAATAACAGTAGGGATGTAGAGAGTAGTTCGTCTTCTGGTGAATACCCGTTGATATTTTTTTCCCCGGGAAAGACACACATGCTTGAAAACCAACAACAAGGTTTTGTTTTGCAGGCGGCAACTCAGGTTCATTTCTGTGCGAATTTCAGTACAAAAGCGTTGCAGACTGGAAATAAACTTTTCTTGCCAAGACCGAACCTTTGGCTCTAAAGGTAACTGTTCAACCACAAAACTCAGAACTAAACGTTTTACCCTTGGGTTTGAAACATGGTGCCGCATGGTGCCCGCTTCCAAACTTGAATTTTAGCTACAAAATTCCTGTGCAAAGTCCCCAATCTGTGACCAACAAGCATGGGCTGCTTATGAAACAGCAGAAACGGGGATAGGGACCAACATAGTATTGGGGAACCCACAGCAAAATATTGATGTAAGAACCAATAGAAAGTAGAACATAACCGGTACAACTGGTGTATATATATATACATAAATAATGTACATATATGTACATACCCTCCGGCACTTGAAACTCCCGATTTATAGATTAGTTTCTGATTAAAGCCTCCATATATATATATTTTTCCCCCATTGCCACGTTGTTTACCAGAGGGTATGTACATATATGTATATATATATATAAATATGTACAAACATACACGTGTGTACACAGATATGTTACTATACTCCGAAAGCCAATAGTGAATATACTTGGTTCCCCCTGGCAATGCTAAGTCGATTGAATGCCTATCACTTGGTTGCCCAAGACGCCAGGTGAGCAATGCCACAAAATTCTCTGTGCTTGATTGTTTACATGGTCTAGTTGGTTCATATGGATTACATACAAGCAAATAAGCAAAAAAAACAACCAAACAAATAACCAAGCAAGCAAGTAAACAAGCAAGCAAGCAAACGAGCAAGCAAGCAAGCAAACAAACAAACAAAGACATACAAACATACAAACATACATACGAAGATACTGAACTACCTATATCTACCCATACCTACCTATACTCACCTACATTTACAAAACCCTACCTGTACCTCCCTATGGCAACCTAAAGCAATCTAGAGGTACGAAAAACTGATTCAATACGCAATACCAACACACCGACAGAGAGGAATCCTGCACATCCTGCACCTGGCCAGCATTTTTGGGCTCAGGTGGTATGGTCCAAGAGCCGTGTCTTCTTTGCCAAAGTGGTGGTGAGTCAAAGCTTTGAGACCTTCATGGGCATTGTGATCTTTGTCAACCTGGCGTTGCTGGGCATCGTTTCGCCCTAACCACCCACCACAGCCTTGTTCGGGTGTTCCCCAAAAACCTGGGTGACTGATGTTTGTCCAGCGTTCTTTGGCTAGATGTAAACGGTTCACAGACATAACGTCAAAGAAAAACATATGGATGTATCTGACATAGACGTGTTCAGTATTAGTAGTTTATATTTCTATTATCATCATTGTGAGTATATATATATATATGTATGTATGTATGTATGTATGTACGTACGTACGTACGTACGTATGTATGTATGTAGGTACGTATGTACGTGCGTGCGTATGTATGCATGGATGTATGTAATGTATTAATGTATGTATGTATGCATGCATGCATGTATGTAATTAATTAATTAATTAATGTATGTATGTATGTATGTAATGTATGTATGTAATGTATGTATGTATGTATGTATGTACGTATGTACGTATGTATGTATGTACGTATGTATGTAATGTATGTATGTAATGTATGTATGTAATGTATGTATGTAATGTATGTATGTAATGTATGTATGTATGTATGTATGTATGTATTGTATTGTATTGTAATGTAATGTAATGTAATGTAATGTAATGTAATGTAATGTAATGGTATGTATGTATGTATGTAATGTATGTATGTATGTATGTAATGTATGTATGTATGTATGTAATGTATGTATGTATGTATGTAATGTATGTATGTATGTATGTAATGTATGTATGTATGGATGGATGGATGGATGTATGTATGTACGTATGTATGTACGTATGTATGTATGTAATGTATGTATGTAATGTATGTATGTATGTATGTAATGTATGTATGTATGTAATGTAATGTATGTATGTATGTAATGTATGTATGTATGTATGTATGTATGCATGTATGTATGTATGTATGTATGTATTTAATGTAATGTAATGTAATGTAATGTAATGTAATGTTATGTAATGTTATGTAATGTTATGTAATGTTATGTAATGTTATGTAATGTTATGTAATGTTAATGTAATGTTATGTAATGTTATGTAATGTTATGTAATGTTATGTAATGTTATGTAATGTTATGTAATGTTATGTAATGTATGTAATGTTATGTAATGTTATGTAATGTTATGTAATGTTATGTAATGTTATGTAATGTTATGTAATGTTATGTAATGTTATGTAATGTTATGTAATGTTATGAAATGTTATGTAATGTTATGTAATGTTATGTAATGTTATGTAATGTTATGTAATGTTATGTAATGTTATGTAATGTTATGTAATGTTATGTATGTATGTGTGTATGTATGTGTGTATGTATGTATGTAATTAATGTAATTAATGTAATTAATGTAATTAATGTATGTATGTAATTAATGTAATTAATGTATGTATGTAATTAATGTATGTATGTAATTAATGTATGTATGTAATTAATGTTATGTATGTAATTAATGCTATGTATGTAATTAATGTTATGTATGTAATTAATGTTTTGTATGTATTAATGTAATGTATGCATTAATGTAATGTATGTATTAATGTAATGTATGTATTAATGTAATGTATGTATGTATGTAATGTTATGTTATGTTATGTTATGTCATGTTATGTTATGTTACGTTATGTCATGTTATGTTATGTTATGTATGTAATGTAATGTAATGTAATGTAATGCAATGTAATGTAATGTAATGCAATGCAATGGAATGTAATGTAATGTAATGTAATGTAATGTATGTAATGTATGTAATGTATGTATGTATGTATGGATGGATGGATGGATGAATGGATGGATGGATGGATGGATGGATGGATGTATGCATGGATGTATGTATGTATGTATGTATGTATGTATGTATGTATGTATGTATGTATGTATGTATACATGTATACATGTATACGTATACATATGACTTCTATCTCTGATCGCTTTCTGTCACCCTCAAGCACATACATGCTCTGGGCGGACCGGGTGCTGGCGGGTTCTGGGCTGCTGAGAGACGTGTTCTGGGGCTTTGCATGTCCGATTCACTGCGGTCCCTCAGGACTTCCCTGGCCGCTCTCTGGACTTTTCTTGGAACTTCTGCTGGGGATCGGATAAGTTTTTCTCTGGGGGCCTTGTGGATCTTTTTTTTAATTTACTCGCTTTTCCAGCCTGCGCCAGGTCCCTTCTCCTCAACAGGGCTTCGCCAGAGATCCAGGTTGTTGGGCTACTTGCCTGTGGATGAGCAGTGGTCTGCACGTTAGGCTTCTAGAGCTGAGCAAGGAGGCTGCCATCAATGGTCCAGCTGAATGCCTTAGTGAAGTGCAGGATCGGCGTTGGTGCTGCATCACTATAAGCTGCGAGGCCAGGGATGCCAAAGTGGTCTTCCCAGCCTTCTTGGGGCGTCTATTGGAGTTCCCCCTGGAGTTTGTCTCCTTCTTCGATGCGGGAAATGGGCATGTCAGTCCGTTTCTGTTCCTCCACCTGCTAGCTTGCCTTCTCCAATTGAGGTTTCTGCTGACCGGACTCTCTCGTCGCCTGAGCCACTTGTTTGATGCGAAGCAATCTATGCATACATGGTGGTTGCTGCGTGCCTCTATCCTTTATTTTGGGCGCCAACGTATTTCAGGCGTCGGGACGATCCCGCGGAGCGCGTCGCGTCGTGCCTTGTCTGCAGTCATGTTGCTATCGACTGTCTACCCTGGCTCTGCATGTCATTGGCTTTCAGCTTCGCTTTCTCCGGCGTTTTTCTGGCGTTCTGCAGCTAGTCTCCATGTTCCGCGGTTTGCGTGCAGGCCCCCTCCTGTGACTGCGCCGTTTCTTGTCTGCAGATGCGTGCATGGTGGTTGCCTCGTGCCCTATACTGTCTGGGGGCCAACGTCGCTCAGGCTTCGCAACAGTCCGGCAGCGCGCGTTGAGTCGTGCCTTGTCTGCATTCATATTGCTATCGACTGTCTGCATTAGTTATGCGTTTCCTGCCAGGCCGTCTCGCTCGCCCCGCCGTCGACATCGCTCTCTGCGGTCTCGGTCGCCCTTGCCCGCGCTGCTTGGCTGCAGTCTTGTCTCGGATTTTGCTTCGCTTGCTGGCTTCCTTTCAAGATCTTTCAAGGCCATTGCCATCGTTGCGGTCTCGACGCGTCGCAGCCCCGAGGTTCCTTGGTTTCATGCCGTTTGTTGCTGTCTCGTCGTCTTTTTCTTGGTCTTTGTTTTGTTACTGCTGAGGCCGCTCACCGTCTATTTCCCTCACTGAGTGGGTTTGGCTAGGGTTATTTTTTGGTTTTTAAACTCCTGCCACGTGCGCGGAAAAGTGTCTATAGGTGCGCTTGCATGTTTCGTTGCGTCACGATTCTTGGAGACCGAAGTGAAGTGACAGTTTTTGCCATGCTTTGTTTCTTTTCTTTCGTATCAGTCATGTTGATGCCAGTGGCATCACACGCGTGTGGTTCTCTTTTCCGCAGCCCCTAATGGGCGTGTTTTTTGCTTTAGCCTCCTGCAACAGTCGCAACCAACCACGTCGCCGGTGGGACATTTCAGCTGAATGAAGAGAGGATCTGCCCACACAGGTTAGTATACTGGTTTATGGTGGAATAACTTCAATTAATAAAGCATGGTTTAATTATCTTTAACTGCTGTTATTTAAATATGGTACTATAGATGCTCCTACCCTGCGGCGGAGGTGGGGCCTTGCCGTTTGGGCTGCTCTCCATCAAGGGCCCAAAAGACTAGGTTTTACCAATGCCAGACAGCAATCGGCTAGGATAGACATGCCGGACATGCTCAGAGTTGTCCAGATGTTTCTTGGACCCTTCAAACCACATCAGAGGCTATGGCCATCCAGCGGTAACACTTTGAGGAACAAGTTTCGTTCGGTTTTGCAAGCGTTGAGGCTGCCGTTGTCTTTGTTTAATGGCTGTAAGGCTTTGGAACTGGCATCTATTCACGCTGGCTCTGCTACAGGGCTTATGCAGACTTTGGAGAGTGCAGACCTACTCCAACGTCGAGGTCGTGGGGCAAACCGGAAAATGATGGATATGCAGGAGAGAACGGCCTTAGTTCAAAGGGCCCCTCAGGACACAAGAAAACAACTGTCTTGATTGTGGCCGACTCCTTTTTGAATGTGGTCAACAAGGCTGAATGTTTCCTCAAGGCCAATAAATGAATGTTTGGCCTATCTTATTCCATATGTAAAGAGACGAAGGTCAACGAATGGAAATGATTGGCACGGAATGCGGGGACTGGAATGGTTTTGATGAGGCAACAACTTTGCCAATGTGCTGTTGGAAACTGCAACGTGGGAGACGCAACTATGGTGGCAATCTGGCAAGAGTTGGCTTTTCACGGACCATCCCGGCTGTGAACAAAGCTTTACAATGGATTGGCGAAAAGTTGCGTGAAGGGATATAAATATACATGTATGTATGCATATTGTGCATATACAGTATTACATATCACATATATATATATGTATATGTGTAAATAAATAAATAAATATACATATATATATATGTATACATCCATACATACATATATACATACATACGTATAAACATACATACATACATACATACATACATACATACATACAGACAGACAGACAGACAGACAGACAGACAGACAGACATACCTACGTACGTATGTACGTACATACGTATGTACAGACAAATATACATATATATATATATGTATATATATATATATATTTGTCTACATGTATACACTATGTGTATATGCATACATGTATATATATATACACATACATGCTTGCATTTGTATGTATGCATGCACATTTGATCACATATGTACTTACACATTTGCAGTTTGTGTATATACATATATATATATATATATCCATACAAACAAACAACTGGGTTTTTCAGCTGAATGATGGGATGCATTGTAGGTTGGCACCTGGACTTGGAATAATCCGGTGGTCAAAATGGTAGTTGTCAACGGGGATACCCTCTATGCATATACCCTCCGGTAATCAAACATGGTTTGCTGGGCAGTCATGCATTTAATTTGATGATTCTCCCAGCGAAACCCTCCAATGAGATTTTCAATCGGCCCGCCATGTTTGATGGAGGGTAAACCAATAACGCATGGAATTTTATTGAATGGTTGCCAACAAAATTTGGCCTTTGATTCAGATTTGAGGGCCATCGATGTGAGTGGTTCTTGGTGCCCATCCATCAGGTTCATTAGTTCACTGCTGAGGTTAATGATTTTTGAGACCAACTCAGATGCTCGATGCTACCCGGAATTTGCCCTAAACCTCCAAGATTGCAAATACCACTCTTCACAGCATTTGTGGTTGCTGGTTTGCACTATTATCTTGCAATTGATCTACACCGCCGAATGCATGATGAGAGCCTATGCCGAGCGCAGCAACTACGCCTCCCCAAACTGAATTCTGCAGCGTTTCCATTTTTTTTCCGAAAGGTGCTCAACTGTTTGCTAGTTTCTTTGGTGGTTTGGTATCCTTAAGATTTATTCCCGGTCCGAATCTAAACCTCTGTGTACGGACAGCGTCAGGTCTGGAACAGATGGAATCAAGTTGACCTTTGGACTGCCATTATGGGATGGGCAGGTGTGGCCCTATCGTCGTCAGTGAATCTGAGTATCTTGAGGAGACCCTTTGGGCTCTGGGTGGGACATGCATTGGGAATGAAGAGGCTGCCAGCTGAGTCCAAGAATGTCAAACACGGTGGTTGCAAACCTTTCTCAGATCAAACAGATCGTACTAAGCAGGAACCCCCCAAAATTTCCAAACAATCTTTTGCATGATTTGAATGGCTCAACAGATGACTTCTTCAGACTCCAACGCTGCATTTTTCTCGGTAGGATCCTGCGTGTGCTCCGCTTGATCCGGGTGGGTCGCTTGGTGATTTCCGTGCCGGAGCTGTACATCTTGCTGAGTGGTTTGACCACGTCCTTCAAACCGATTCTCTTTGGCTCCATGATGCTCATCTCTGTGATTCTGGTGTGGTCCATTATTGTGGTGGAACTCTTGCACCCCATCACCTCTGGGACACTTGGAACGGTGAACGGTGAACTCATGGGTACAATGGGGGAGCAAGTTCTGAAAAATCTGCATTCTGTGAATTCTTCCGCCCATCCAAGGCTTGATTTTCCAGGCTGCCCCAGCTGCCATCTGGGCTTTGATGGTGTGTATGCAGCCTGCTTGACTCTGTTTGCCCAAATTGTTGCGGGAGATTCTTGGAGTCAAATATCTATACCACTTGCGAAAAAGGAACCCTGGACCGCACCGATCCTATTCTTCATCATGATGACGGTCTCTCTGGGGGTCATGAACCTGATCCTGGCCGTCATCGCCTTTTTGTTTCATTTAAGGCAACAGTTTTTTTTGTTCGATCAAATGCCTGGGGTCTATGAAATTCTATAAATGTATGTGATTAGTCTATGATATTCTCTTAGGTTTTATAGGTTTACCCCTCGATAAACAAGTAGACCATTGCTGAAACGACACCATGCAAAGGGCGACCGGGCTGAGGTTGAAAAGGCGGCGGAGGCACGCGAGAATGACCAGGAAAGAAAGCAAAAGCAAGTCGATGAGCAAAGACAAAAGGACTGGACCCAACTGCTCTGGTGATTGATTAAAAAAATAAAATCATTTATTGTTTTGGTTTCGTCTTCCGTCCCTTCTGTCTTGTATTTTGTGCCTCTCTTCTCTGACGCGTCGGCGTTTCACATCGGTTGAAATCACCAAGTGTAGTCAACAGAGTCCAGAGATCCTGGGTTCCTGCCGGTTCCTGCCAGTTCCTGCCAGTTCCTGACCAAAATGATCTTTCACTTTCTCATGGGAAAACCACCAATTTCATGGCCTTCATGCTTCTTCTTGGAGAATCTTCCGCCCAAAGGAAGACATGTCTGCCTCTTGATGCTTTCGCCTTATCCAAACCCGACTTCCAATGCCTAAAACCCCTCAAACAATCCCTTCTGCCCTAAAATCACCAGCTTCCCGGTGTGGTTTTTGTCATAGGCCGACCGAAGGGGACGTTGACCGAAGGGGTGTAATGGGATGGCCATAATTCAATGGAGGGCTATTTTTTTTTGGCGGCAGGTTTTGGATTTTTTTTGGGTTCCTGGTTCTATGCTTTCCTGTTTCTCTGATTTTCTGCTTTTCTGCTTCTCTGCTTTTCTGCTTCTCCGCTGTTCTGCTTCTCTGCTTTTCTGCTTCTCTGCTTTTCCTGCTTCTCTGCTTTTCTGCTTTTCCTGCTTCTCTGCTTTTCTGCTTCTCTGCTTTGTGCTTTCCCTGCTTCCCTGCTTCTCTGCTTCTCTGCTTCTCTGCTTTTCCCGCTTCTTTGCTTTTCTGCTTCTCTGTTTTCCCTGCTTCTCTGCTTTTGTACTTCTGTGCCTTTCTACTTCTACTATTCTACTTTTTCTTTTCTTCAGTCATGTCTTTTTGCTGCTCTACTTCCTGCTCCTTTGCTTCTTTGCTTCCTGTCTCTACTGTCTCTTTGTTTTTCATTTTCTTTTGATTAATTCTGTTCTGTTTGTATCCTAAATGAAACCCTGAGAGACCCTAGGTGAAACCCAAAGAAACCCTAAAGAAATCCTGATAAGAAACCCTACATGAAAACCTCAATGAACTCTAAAGAAACCATAAATGAACCCTAAAGAAACCATAAATTCATCCTAAAGAAACCATAAATGAAACCCTAAATGACACCCTAAATGACATTCCAAAGAAACCCTAAACAACACCCTGAAAAAAAAACTAGATGAAACCTGAACTGACACCGTAGCTGAAACCCTAAATTGACACCCTTAAGAAACCCTAAATGAAAGCCTAAATTGAAACCCTAAATGAAACCCTAAGGAAACCCTAAATGAAACCCTAAAACAACCCTGAAGAAACCCTAAATGACACCCTAAATGAAACCCTAAAGGGACCCTAAAGGAACCCACTTGAACGTTTAGAAATCGTAAAAAGCAATCCTGATAAGAAACCCTGGAATGAAACCCTAAAGAAAGCTCAAATGAAACCCTAAATGAAACCCTAGAGAAACCCTAAAGAAACTCTAAATGAAACCCGAAAGAAACCTTAAATGAGACCCTAAATGAAACCCAAACTGAAACCCTAAAGAAACCCTAAATGAAACCCTGAATGAAACCCTAGAGAAACCCTAAAGGAACTCTAAATGAAACCCGAAAGAAACCTTAAATGAGACCCTAAATGAAACCCAAACTGAAACCCTAAAGAAACCCTAAATGAAACCCTGAATGAAACCCTAAATGAAACCCTAAAGGAACCCTAAAGGAACCCACTTGAACGTTTTGAAATCGTGAAAAGAACTTCTGATAAGAAACCCTGGAGTGAAACCCTAAAGAAAGCTTAAATGAAACCCTAAAGAAAGCTTAAATGAAACTCTAAATGAAACCCTAAAGAAACTCTAAATGAAACCCTAAAGAAACTCCAAATGAAACCCTAAAGAAACCCTAAATGAAACCCTAAATGAAACCCTAAATGAAATCCGAAATGAAACCCTAAAGAAACCCTAAATTGAGGGAGACGCATCAAACAAAAATAAATACGCATCGAAAAAAATATAAATGCATCAAAAAAATAAATGACCATACAGGAGGAAAGGAGGGAAGGAAGGAAGGCAGAAAGGAAGCAAGGAAGTAAGGAGGGAAGGAGGGAAGGAGGAAAGGAGGGAAGGACGAAAGGAAGGAGGAAGAAAGGAGGGAAGGAGGGAAGGAGGAAAGGAGGAAAGGAGGGAAGGACGAAAGGAAGGAAGGAAGAAAGGACGGAAGGAGGGAAGGAGGACGAAAGGAAGGAAGGAAGAAAGGAGGGAAGGAGGGAAGGAGGAAAGGAGGAAAGGAGGGAAGGACGAAAGGAAGGAAGGAAGAAAGAAGGGAAGGAGGGAAGGAGGAAAGGAGGAAAGGAGGGAGGGGAGGAAAGAAGGAGGGAAGGAAGCAAGGAAGGAGGGAAGGAGGAAAGGAGGGAAGGAGGGAAGGAGGCAAGGGGGGCACGAAGGGAAGTGTTTGCAGTCAACACTTGCAGCTTGCGGCTGCAACGGTTTCACCGTCAAATGCGTTATTATGACCGTGCTTTATCATGCATCGAAAGCCTAAATTACGGCAATATTGAAAAATCTGCGAAACAGCAGAACATGATGGATGTTGCCTTCCAGCCATATCTTGCCACTAAGCGAAATTGGGGAATCAGCGTCAAAGCTTAGACCCGAGATGTTAACACAGTTGCTTGCTTTCCACAATTTTCACAGCAGGGGGCAGGCTGATTTAATACTTTATCATATGGATGGTGCACCCTGCACCCCCCCCACCCACTTTTATTTTTTAACCGGCTCCCCTTGCTACCTACTATTCTTTTGTTTTTTCAGAGGCATCATTGTTGATTTGGGTTCATTTCATCTTTATTGATATCCATCGCCGCTTGTGCCTATGTGCTTCTTTCTTTGTACGCATTGCGGGGGGACGCGCTGCGCCCTCCCCCCTGCACCCCCCACCCGCTTTTATCTTTTAATCGGATTCCCTTGCTACCTCCTCTACTTCTCTTTTTTTCACGAGCATCGTTTATTTGTTTTTTAATATTATCAATATCTTCATTCTTGCTGCTGCTACTACTACTACTACCAAGTTACTACTACTACTACCACCACCACTACCACTACCACTACCACTACTACTACTACTACTAGTACTACTACTACTACTAGTACTACTAGTACTACTAGTACTACTAGTACTACTAGTACTAGTACTACTAGTACTACTACTACTACTACTACTACTAGTACTACTACTACCACCACCATCAGTACTACCACTAGTAGTAGTAGTAGTGGTGGTGGTGGTGGTGGTAGTAGTAGTGGTGGTAGTAGTAGTAGTGGTAGTAGTCGTCGTAGTAGTCGTAGTAGTAGTCGTAGTAGTAGTCGTAGTCGTAGTCGTAGTCATAGTAGTAGTAGTAGTAGTAGCAGTAGTAGTAGTAGTGGCACTGGTACTAGTACTACTAGTACTACTAGTACTACTAGTACTACTAGTACGACTAGTGCCACTAGTGCCACTAGTGCCGCTACTACTACTGCTACTACTACTGCTAGTACTACTGCTAGTACTACCACTCTTACCACTACCACTACTACCACTACCACTACTACTACTACCACTACTACTACTACCACTACGAGTACTACCACTACGAGTACTAGTACTAGTACTACTACTACTACCACTACTACTACTACTTCTACTACCACTCCTACCACTACTACCACTACTACCACTACTACCACTACTACCACTACTACCACTACTACCACTCCTTCCACTACCACCACAGCCGCCGCCGCCACCACCATCACCACCACCACGACTACTACTACTACTACTACTACTGCAACTACGACTACTACTACTACTACTACTAGTACAACAGCAACTACTACTACTTCTACTACTACTACTACTACTAGTACTAGTACTACTAGTACTACTAGTACTAGTACTACTAGTACTACTAGTACTAGTAGTACTACTAGTACTACTAGTACTAGTACTACTAGTACTACTAGTACTACTAGTACTACTAGTACTACTAGTACTACTAGTACTACTAGTACTACTAGTACTACTAGTACTACTAGTACTTCTAGTACTTCTAGTACTACTAGTACTACTAGTACTACTAGTACTACTAGTACTACTAGTACTACTAGTACTACTAGTACTACTAGTACTACTAGTACTACTAGTACTACTAGGACTACTAGGACTACTAGTACTACTAGTACTACTAGTACTACTAGTACTACTAGTACTACTAGTACTACTAGTACTACTAGTACTAC